GCCAAAGGCCCATCCAGTCCAACACTCTGTATCACACAGTGGCTAGAAATACCAGTGCCATCAGGAGGTCCACTAGTGGGGCCAGGACATTAGAAGCCCTCCCACTGTTGACCCCCCCAAGCACCAATATGACAGAGCATCACTTGCCCCAGACCGAGAGTCCCTATCTATACCTTGTGGCTAATAGCCACTGATGGACCTCTGTTCCATATGCTTATCTATTTCCCTTTTGAAGCTGTCCATGCTTGTAGCCGCCACCACTTCCTGTGGCAGTGAATTCCAAGTGTTAATCACTCTTTGGGTGAAGAAGTACTTTTATCCGTTCTAACCCGACCGCTCAGCAATTTCATGGAGTGCCCACGAGTTCTTGTATTGTGAGAACGGGAGAAAAGTACCTCTTTCTCTACCTGCTCTTTCCCAAGCATAATCTTATAAACCTCAATCGTGTCACCATGCATTTTGGTGCACACAATGCTGTTAGGATGGTCTTTCAGCATGAATTTGAGTTTCAAGTAATCTGGCATGCAGCTTTCTGACCCATGCTATCCTTGGGCATGGGGGCTACCTGCTAAATTCTTTTTGGGCTAAGATTTTAAACTTTGTGACAAAGCACTGGCTTATTGTTTCGCAGGTGCAAACTGCAGCTTGCCTCCCCATGCACCAAGATTTGGTTTATTTTTTGGTAAGGAAGGCTGGTTGTCCCTGAGCCCATTCTGCATTCCCCTGGGAAACTGGATCACTTAAGAGTGTAACTCTTGCACGGAATTAGAATAGCTTGCTACCGCGCCATGCGGTTTAACACTTTTTTTTTAGATTTCCCTGGGAGCTTCCATTACATTTACCTGTGTGTGCTTCATGAGTTTCTTGTTCCTAGTCCCTAGCCCAGATAAATTCACAGCTCTGGGTATTACCATTTTCTAAGACTTGTGGTATCTCACTGTGGATATAAATTGCTTATGCTCCCACCTCCCCCCCAAAAAAAAACAGGTTCTCAGCTGGAGCCTGGCAGGAAGGTTTGTCATTCAGTTTTGGTGGTGAAGGAGAATGATGAGTGAGTATTCTTTTGTAGCAGAGAATCTCCATTGATCCGGCTGCACTTCCCATGAAGGCGTCTGCAGTTTGTACTCCCGGAACCTTCTGTTCGCCATTGTTTTCGGTGTGCCTTGCATACTATACGCCCACAGCATTTTTTGTGTTTCTACTCTGAAGCAGGACTGAAAGCTGTAGAAAGTTTTGTCTGTACTCAAATAAGGATTTCAGATGTGGTATATGGTAGGCTAACGTGTTGTGTGTTTACTCACCAAAACCCCAAAAGGTAACATTTTCCACCTTTACTTTGTTCAGGCAAAATCACAAGGTGTTTCCTTAGGAACAGAAGTAGTTATATAATGTAACTGACACAAAACCTCTGGAACTGCAAATCTACATAGGGCAGTCGGGTTAGAACGGATAAAAGGAAGTACTTCTTCACCCAAAGAGTGATTAGCACATGGAATTCACTGCCACAAGAGGTGGCGGCGGCTACAAGAGGGAATCGGATAAACATATGGAGCAGAGGTCCATCAGTGGCTATGAGCCACAAGGTATAGATAGGGACTCTCGGTCTGGGGCGAGTGATGCTCTGTATTCTTGGTGCCTGGGGGGGGGGGGGGGGAGGGCTTCTAGTTTCCTGGCCCCACTGGTGGACCTCCTGATGGCCCCTGGTATTTTTGGCCACTGTGTGACAGAGTGTTGGACTAGATGGGCCATTGGCCTGATCCAACATTGGCTTCTCTTATGTTCTTATGATTGAAGAACAGGTCAGAGGTTTGTCTAACCTTTGGGCTGGAAATGGGCATAGAGCCAGCATGGTATAGTGGTATTTTTTGGACTTTGGACACTCAGGTTTGAATCCCCACTGGTGCCGTGGAAGCTTGCTGTGGGTGACCTTGGGTCAGTTGCATACTCTCATGGTAAGCTGCCTCACAGGGTTGTTGTAAGGATAAAACAGAAGAGGGGAGAAATGATGTAAGCTGCTTTCGGTCTCCATTGGGGAGAAAGTAAGTAAATAATAGGCTCTTCCAGCCGTTTTATGACAAAGAGGAGGAAAAGATATTTGTAGAAATTTGCCAGCACTGTATGTCATGTCCAGAGAAAGCATATAACACTTTTTTTCTCCCCTGTGATCCTGCCTGTTAGGTTGGGCTGCGGGCAGGTCTCCATGCCACCAAGCCTGGTGGATCAGCCATGTTTTTATATTTTTTCCCCCTTGACTTAACAAGCAAGATCTTGAGCTTTTAATGGGGAAGTCTCACTCTTCCTTGGTCTGGCATGGAAGTTGGAGTAACATCTGGTTCTGCTTATTGTCTACCTTTACGCTCTAGATTGGGAGCAGCGCAATAAGAATAGAAAACAGTTGTTCTGGATGAAAACCTAGGGAGGGTCTTGTGAACATGAAGATAAACACATTTCAGATGTTTGATTTGAGCTGTCCCCTTAAAAAAGAGGAGAGAACTTTTGGGGCAAAGAAAGCCCCATTCTGTGCCTGTCTCAGTGGCTTTCCCTGCTCTCCACTTACATAAATACATCAGAACTTTCAACAAGACTGGAGTGGATTGCCTCATGCCTCCTTTCGAAGACCCCCACTCCTATAATGAGGACAAGGGACTCGTGCGTGTTGTGCCAGTGGTGTCTGGTGCTTTGAACATAATGTGAAGACGCTATCTCTGCTGCAAAGAAGGGCTGTTTTTTGACAGTTTGTGCTTTTTGTTGCTGCTGTTCTTGTTCCAGTGGAAGATATTGGTAGTTGTATACGGAAAGATTATTCCCCATTGAGCACTGCTTTGCCGAATGGGCAGTGAATCACAGTTTTAGCTAAGCTATGAATAAAAGAGCAGGCCAATCTGCTCCTATAATTTCAGATAGGAAGAGGCATGCATTTGGGACCAATGTTCCCTCTAAGCTGTGGAGTCCTGTGAGCAAAAATTCTACTTTGTGAGCAACTGGCATTAAAGTTGTGAGCAAGCGATTTGGTGACTGCATCAATCAGTTTGCTCCAGAGCCCTCCTTCCTGAGCTAAGACAAAAATGTGTGAGCCGGAGGCTAAAAAACTGTGAGCTAGCTCACACTAACTCAGCTTAGAGGGAACACTGTTTGGGACTGGTGGCCCGTCTTGTAGAAGAGTTCAGTTCTATAGCCAGATTGTGGCCTTGTAGTTCATTGTTCTGTTTTGTGGATTTAGGTTTATAGAGTAGAGTAGGCCTGAGACTAAGTGGGTGGCAACTTGGGAGAGGGTCTTGTTCATGGCACCAAAGTTCTGGAACTCTGTCCCCAGGGAGTTTCATGTATCCCCCTTCTGTTGCCGTCTCCTGCCATTGGGTGAAGACTTATTTTGTTTGGCATCCCTTCGATGATCCTTCCTAACCAGTGTTTTAATTGCTGTTTTTATGTTTTGTGTGTGTTTTAACTCTGCTTTTAAATTGTTTTAATAATGTGTGTTTGAGGGGCTTGATTTTAATGGTTTTAAAAATGTTTCCCCGCAAGGATAAAGAACGTGTCCTTTTTTAGGTTTGGATTTAGAGAAGATCAGTACCTTTGTTTTTTCGAACTTTATTTCAGGATATCCTTTGATGCAGGAATCATAAAACTCATTTAATATTTTCTCTGAGAGTATGGGCTAATAAAACAAGATCGTCTGTGTATGCTGAATAAGGTACAGGCTGACCACTTGGCTGAGGAGAGCAGGATCTACAGTCCTCCTGGCTAGGATGGAAAGCTTTTCTGTACCAATTAAATAAACGCGGGGCCAAGATGCAGCTCTGCCTAACGCCCCTTCTTACTCGGATTGGATTTGAGAGGGTGGAGCTACCAGGTATATGAATCTGAGGGATACTTTCAGAGTATAGATTCCTAATGAGTGCCAGTAATACCCATGCTAGAAAGTTTTTTAGTTGTTTCACTTGTTTTAATGATGTGTCTTTGGGAAGGGGCTTGATTTTAATGGTCTTTAAAATGTGATTTTATCATGTATACTTCAAATCGTTAGTTGCCCTTGTAATGTCAGAAAATCAGGAAGCAATATGAATAAAGAAATATATATGTCATCTTGGGAGTTTTTGTGGAAAAATGCAATGAAAATTTCAACATGTAATAATCTAAAAGAAAATTGTTATAAAATGATGTATAGATGGTATATGACACCCAAAAAGATAGCAAATATATAAGTAGTAATATGTCTCACAAATGTTGGAAATGTAAAAAAAAGGAAGGTTCTTTTTACCATATGTGGTGGACTTGTGAAAAAGCAAAAAAAATTTGGACGGAGGTCCATAATGAGATGGAAAAAATATTGAAATGTACATTTAAGAAGGAACCAGAAGTATTACTCTTGGGACTTAAAATGGAAGAAGTGAATATAATAAAGAGGACTTTGATGTGGTACTTGATTACAACTGCTAGAATGACTTATGCTCAATGTTGGAAACAAAAAAAAATACCGGAGATTTGGGAATGGATAAAAAAGTTACTTTTTATGGTTGAAATGGACAAATTGACAAGGAAACTTAAAAATCAGGAGGCGGAAGAATTCTTTGCTGACTGGAAGGACTTTAAAGAGTATTTTGAGAAATACTGGGATGTGAAAAACAATTTATTTTGCTTTGATAACTATTAAGGTTATAAGAACTGTGAAGTAGTTGAAAGTATAGAAATATTAGTTTAAGATAATGTTACCTGATAGATGTAATGATAAAACAATGGATAAGTGAGGAGAAAATGGAAAATCTGGATGGGAGGTTAGAGCACTGCGGGAAGCCTGAAGTAGAGGGGGGGGGGAGGATAGGAGGGGGAAAGGGTATAAAATGAATAAAAGGGGGAAATGTTTTTAAGTTGGAAATGATATTATATCCTGATAATAAAAATGTTTGACCAAAAAAAGAAAAAAAAGAAAATCAGGGAGCAAATCGTGTAATAATAACTTTTTAAAAAGACTAAACTGGGGATATATTTTCTTCTCTTTCAAGGTGCTTGAAAACTACTCAGATGGACCTATGACCCCAAAACAGATCCTGCAGGTCATAGAGTCTGAGGGCCTGAAGGAAACAAGGTGGGTGTTGATCTTCCTGTCTGAGTCAAAGTGTGTGTGGCGGGCGGGGGGAGGGAGGAGAAAGGTGGGTTGAAATTGATTTTTGGGTTTTCTGTAGTTAAAAAGGCAAATGCAATTTTGGGTCGTATCAACAGAAGTATAGTGTCCAGATCATGCAGGTATTGCTTTGTTAGAGGCATTGCTCTAGTTAGACCTCACCTAGAGTATTGTGTTCAGTTTTGGGCACCACAATTCAAGAAGGATATCAACAAGCTGGAACGTGTCCAGAGGAGGGCGATGAAGATGGTGAGGGGTCTGGAGACCCAAGTCCTATGAGGAAAGGTTGAAGGAGCTGGGTATGTTTAGCCTGGAGAGGAGACGACTGAGAGGTGATACGATAACCATCTTCAAGTACTTGAAGGGCTGTCATATAGAGGATGGTATGGAGTTATTTTCTGTTGCCCCAGAAGGTCGGACCAGAATATCAGAAGAGTTTTTGGCAAAACATTAGAAGAAGAAGAAAAAGAAATTGGATTTATACCCCGCCCTTCACTACCTAAAGGCGTCTCAGAGTGGCTTACAACCTCCTTTCCCTTCCCCTCCCCACAACAGACACCCTGTGAGGTAGGTGGGGCTGAGAGAGCTCTGACAGAAACTGCTCTTTTTCAAGAACAGCTGAGGTAGAACTACAGCTTGCCCAAGGTCATCCAGCCAGGTGCAAGTGGAGGAGTGGGGAATCATACCCAGTTCTCCCAGATTAGCGTCTGCACACTTAACCACTACACCAAACTGGCTCTGCCCAAGAAGAAAAGATTGGATTCATACCCCACCCTTCACTACCCAAAGGTGTCTTAGAGTGGCTTACAAATTCCTTTCCCTTCCCCTCCCCACAACAGACACCCTGGGAGGTAGAAGAAGAAGAAGGATTGGATTTATACCCCGCCCTTCACTACCCAAAGGTGTCTTAGAGCAGCTTACAAACTCCTTTCCCTTCCCCTCCCCTCCCCACAACAGACACCCTGTGAGGTCGGTGGGGCTGAGGGAGCTCTGACAAAAACTGCTCTTTTTCAAGAACAGCTGAGGTAGAACTACGGCTTGCCCAAGGTCATCCAGCCAGGAGCAAGTGGAGGAGTGGGGAATCAAACCCAGTTCTCCCAGATTAGAGTCCGCGCACTTAACCACTACACCAAACTGGCTCTCCATTAGTTGCGCCATTAGCATGTCACAGCCTGGGGAACTCCTACAAGATAATGACTCAGCCCTACCCCACCTTCCTGAGTAGATATAAATTGCCTGCCTACCATTTTTCTTCTCACCTTGACACAGAGAGTACTCCACCTTTCTGTGTTATACCTCTGAGGATGCGAGTCACAGCTGCTGGGGAAACGTCAGGTCCTACAATGCCAAGACCACGGCCGTACAGCCCGGAAAATCTACAACTAATGAACTTCAGCCATGAAAGCCTTCGATGAAATATCTCTCTTGGTGATTAGGAAGACGTTCCTGACATTTAGAGTGGTTCCTCAGTGGAACAGGCTTCCTCGGGAGGTGGTGGGCTCTCCTTCTTGGAAGGTTTCCAAACAGAGGCTAGACGGCCATCTGTCCGTAGGGCTGATCCTGTGGACTTAGGCACATCATGACAAGGAAGGCAGGAAGGGTTGCCTCAGTGTTTAGTTCTCGTGGCCCTTTCTTGCACGCCCAGGGAAATCCTGATTGCCACTTTGGGGTCAGGAAGCAATGTTTCTCCAGACCAGTTTGCCCGGGGATCCTAGAGGTCTCTTGTCATCTTCTGGGCGTGGAGCAGGGGTCATTGCGGGGGTGTGTGGGGGGAGGGATTTGTGAATTTCCTGCATTGTGCAGGGGGTTGGACTAGATGACCCTGGAGATCCCTTCCAACTCTATGATTCTGTGAGCCAGTTCAGCCCCCCCCCCTTTGGAGGAAGCAGCTCAAGTGTCTCACTTCCGTCCGTTGAGGTGGCGGTTGCTTCCTGCCAAATTGGGGAGGGGGAAGGTGTCAGAATCACCAAGAGAGAGTTACGACGATCATTTCTCCAAAGCTTTGCATGTGATGATCCCTGAGTTCTTTGTGCAAACTAGTGGACCCCCGGGGGAAGGGGGGTTTGGCACTGGTGGTGACTATGTCTAGCCAAAACGTGGTGGTGTCCTGTAGCGACAAGGAGTCTTGTTCTATCTAGGATCTTTGAGGGGGTCAGAGATCAACCAACTTTGCCAAACGTTCTTGATGGGCAGACGTGTTGACCTGTTGTAGCAAAATTACACTGCAGTCCCAGTAGCACCTTTAAAGATGAGGAAAGTTTATTTCAGCATGAGATTTAGTGAGTCGGAGCCCGCTTCCTCTGATGCCTCCTGGTATACATCCATCAAGCTTGGTTAAATAGTCAGAAGGATGGGGGGGGGGCAGATTACAGAGCGAGGCTGATTTAAAACAACGTCCAGTCAAGAGAGAAATCAGAGTAGGTAAGCTCATCCCTCTTTTGATTTAATCTTACACCAGTCTCTCTTTGTAATATCTCTTCCCCTCCCTGCAAATTCCTCTGACTATTTAACCAAGCTTGATGGATGTATACTTCTTGTCCTAAAGAGTACAGGTTTGACTTGTGAAAGTTCACGCCGAAATGAATTTGGCTTATCTTTAAGGTGCTTCTGGGCTTCTGTCCAGCTTGGACAAGCCATAGTTGAACTAGAAGAAATGTTGCACTTCAAGTACAGCTGCAAACAAAATTAAGAAGTTAGGTGGTATGCCGGGGAGGGGCCGCGGCTCAGTCACGAGGTCCCCAAGTTCAATCCCCGGCATCTCCAGTTAACAAGATCAGGTTACAGGTGATGTGAAAAGACCATTCTCTGCCTGAGACCCTGGGGATTCACTACCAGTCTGTGTAGACAATACTGACTTTGATGGACCAATGGGTCTGATTCAGTATAGGAAAGTTCATACATCCCTACATCTGTAACCAGGGCAGGTACCTGAATGTGGGGAACAAAGGTGTAGAAGATCTAAATAGGTGTTTCAATTTAGTAGAGAGACTTATTGTGCTTAAAAGGCGGCATCCCTATGATCACCTGTCTCCCCGCCTTGCTCTCCTTCATCGTGTCTTTGTCTCAACCAGCTTTTCCGCTGCCATTTGAGGTCTGAACGCTTTTGTGTTGTGCTTTGTGTGAA